CAATTTGAGGCAAAGCTTTTCACAAATAATTATACCAATCGAGTTGTGCATGTCTTAAAAGTTTTTTCTAAATAGTTTCGTTCATATAAGTTAAAAATAGTCTATATTTTTGGTCACGTTCTTATAGTAAACAGTCGTTGCTATGGCCGTTGCCATGTGAAAAAACTTATACCACTTTGTGTACTTTCCTTAAATTTCACACTCATCTGGAAAGAAATTCGTCAAGATCGTTTCAAAATGTTTTTGACAAGTCCTCAAGGGTCTTAAGTCTTGTATTTCCAAGAAATTGAATTTGTCATGAACATCGCCATATTTTAGGGTACCATACCCCCTTAACACTGTTGTGCTAATTTGGGACTGTACTTCTTGTCGTCCCATTCCGTGTGCAATCATACTCGCGATTAAACAATTTAGTCCTCCACTATTCAATAATTCTATTTCGTCAATCACTTGCGTGATTGCGCAACGAATTGGACTCAGTCCTTGCAGTCCACAGTGACTTTGATCGACATATAACGCCCCCTCTGATTGGTTGGTGTCCTCTTGTGTTGCTAGGAAATACTTGCCTGTGTTAAGTAACTATTTGCGTAGAATTGCGTGACAATTACGGGACAATTACAGTGCTCATTGGAGGGGATGGTTAAAGACTCAGCCGGCTCTTACCTGTCTCCAAACGTGGACGGAATCAATCACTTACGGAAGAGTGTGGTCGGCGACTGGAAAAAACGCTTTACACCGGAAGTGAGCAAAAAATTTGAAACCCAGTTTCCTGCGAAGGCGAGAGAGCATGGACTCGAATTCAGTGAATAGCGGAACTGAATCTAAAAGAAGTTTATTTTGCTGGATAGTCTTATGTGTTTCATAAATCGACGTTATCTTGGTGGTAATGTTAAATGACCACTGTTTTGCAGTTGTCATAAAAGATAAATTAAAGCGGCTTGAAACATATTAAACCACAAATTCCTTCACATTGTTCTTTTTATCTTGTGATGCAAAGAACATCTATAATCTTGTAATTATATACATTAATCGAAGGCACATTTCCTTAATGGATCAAGAAACCAGACCATCAGTGTTAGGTTTCAAATGTCCGTTTATTTTCCCCTTTTATTGTTACAGATTTTCTCCACTAAGACTAAACTACTTTGTCTGTGACTTTGCTGTCATGCTGCATTTCACTCAGGTTTCACGCACTGCTTGATGGGAATCTTAATTCCAAACGGAAGCGTGATTGTAGTTGTCACTTTGCACCCAAGTCCATTGGCGCACCCACAATTATGCTTGTCCTGATGAAAACAACAATCGAACAAAGTAATTATTACTTTGCAACAGTACACAAGGAAGATTAAAGGTTGCACCAACTTTAATTTCACTTGAACTGTACACTTAAGTCAAAAGCTGTGGCTAATCATTAGCACTGCTAGTAACATTCTTTATTAAGTATGGTACTTAATAAAGGATGCCACTAACACTGCACTAATACTACTACAGTCGAACCTCCCGTAAGCGACCGCCCAAAATGTCAAGCCTAGATGGACGCTTACGGTAGATGGTCGCTAAAGAGAGCTTAGAGCATATTGAGTCAAAATTTGCATCATTAGCATATGGTAACAGCAGAGACTTACTCCATGTTTTAAATGTTTTATTCATGTGAAAAATCAATTTCGAGAAAAAATACGGTACTTCCCATTGGGAAATTTCTGTCTCTTGTACTACCTAGGAACGCGATAAAGTTACAACCCCTTATTATCAAATTTTCCGTTCTATTATCAGTCAATTGGTTGCTTACGGGAGGCTAAAAACAACTGAATATTTCAAACTTTTAGCTTTGAAAGCGGGCCGCTGTCGCTTACGAGAGGTGTTTGCTTACAAGAGGTTCCAAATATAGTGATTTGACATGGAAACTTTTACTAGTTTGGAAAACTGGTAGCTAAGGAAAGGTGGTAGCTTACGAGGGGTGGTGGCAACCGCAGGTTCGACCGTACTAACATTACTCCAAGGCTGATGCCAAGTGATAACACCGATACTGGTGACTATATGGCACAAAAGGCTGTTACTAACATTACACCAATACTGCTATAGAATTAAACAAGGCTTTCACAAACATTAAACCAATACCGTTGTTGACATTACACCAAGACCGTTACGTACCACTAAGTAACACGTGAAGTACTCCCTGAGTTTTGGAGAACACCGCTTTCCAAAAGCACAGCAGAAGTTGTCCTGGCATTCAGATTCGGAGGTGCAACTCTGTGCCATTAAATTGAATTAAAATGAAAAATAAAGGCTTCGGTCAATGAATAGACGATTTCATATGATTTGTCAATAGTATCATGGCAGTTTGAGTGCTAAACAGTTCTTACATTAAAAAGCCAGCGTTTGGTCCTCATGGGTTCATCAGCAGACTGGTTATCAAGGTCGACTGTTTCCACCTCAATGTCCATTCCCTCCGGCATGCATTGCTTGACGGGCATGGTCTTTCCCTGGTAAATCAGCTTCTTTGTGAGCACACAGGAAAGTCCAGCTTGACAACTACAATCCGGGGATCCATCCTACGAGAAGCATGTGACCAAAATTTATAAAAGCACTGTGTGGTCATAAAAACACAGCTTCTCGATCGGTCACAGCATGGTGTAACTACTATCGAGAAACTACACAGGCTAGTGCTATATAAAAAAATATGAGTTTTTTTTTGTTTATGCTAGTCTTTCGTCATAATTCCTTGGAAATATTGACGCACCATCTTCATAGGAACTACAACTATTCATTAAAAAGGACCAAAATAATGATTTTACTGAGACGGCTCTCCTACCTAGATTGTTTCCTCTTAACAACAGAATTAAATTGAAGTTGTCGCCAACGTTAAAAAGCAATAAAGAAATTAAAATGTTAATAGCTTCCACGATGAGTTGTAATGGTTATAGGATATACACTGTAGCGCTAATAATGATGATGATGATGATGATGACGATGGAAGTGACAGTGATGATTAGATGATGACAATCTTGTTCGCAATGTGACCTAAGGTTTTTTTTTTAAATCATTCTGATTGCTTTATTTGGTCACAGCTGATTACTCACCGGTCTTTTGCAAGCAGCAAGTTTGGGGAGATTTGAACAACCCTGGAAACAACAGAAAGCAATTCATATAAATGGTTTGAATTCAAAGGAATCAGAAAGCTTCAGAAAGAATACTCACCCAAGCAAGAGTGACGCAAAGACTCAGAAAAATAAAGATCTTCATGGCTTCAATGACTTCACACGGTTAACAAAACTCCTGATGAAGTTAGAAATAAAGCCGAAGCTGTTCCTAATCTACTTTTATAGCTTAATTTTAAAGTTTTAGAGCAAATGGCCGTTCCCATGTATAAAAAAGCACAAGTACTTTTAAACAACTCGTTCAAACGAAAACTTTTTCTTTGCGAGATGAAGTTTGTTCAACTGTTTTGGGCAGCGTTAAGAAACGAGCGTTTCTAAATTGGAATCTTGAAACATAGCGCTCATAAAAACAAACATTATGTAATCGTCACCAATAGAAAGCACAATATTTTGCTTGTAAAATCTTTAAGAAGTTTAGAAAGAAATATCCTACCAAGGTACGGTATGTCTTTTATTTTTGTAGGCGAGTAACCCTAATCTGTTTATTTACTAAAGACATTTTCTGGAACAGACAAGGAGATTTACTTTGAGAACGTTTTTCGGTATACGTATTTAAAAAAGAGTATTGGGTGCCTAATATTCTGATACCAAACAAATATTCTTTCATTGAATGAAAGTGGTTGTTGTATTTTCGTAAGATATCAGCTGATATGCTTTTACTTCGAAAACCTTCTAATCATTGTAAGAACAGGTGATGAAACACACTAAAAAATTTCTTATTTGACTTCTGTTCGATAGAGATATTCATCCCACGTATTCTGATTTGTTTATGCTTAGTACACAAGAAGCATCTGATAAAAAGTTATTTAAACATCAAATTGGTTTTACCTTCTCTGGTGTATAGGTACTGTTAAGAGACATTTGACGAAGAAATTTAGAATTGCCCTAAACAAAGTGGGTTTAACAATGCATTGAGGGATTAAAACCGAGACACACTAGAACCTAATGTACTGTTAAGTGTACATGGTTAATGTTTTCTCAGTTCTTGGCAATAATTGCCTTGGGTAAGTCACAAGTGTTTTTTCAGTTGTCATATATTTGTTATAGACCACTGCTGTGCTTGATACATATTTAAAACAAATGCATGGATATTACCCCAAAGATACATGAGTGTTTTTCTTTAGTTTACGCACTGACTTCCAATGTTTAGATCATGGTTCTTATAGCCTTATCGAACATTAACAATAAAAATAACCAGTAAACTGTTTTTTATATGTTTTCTACAAACGATAATCAGTTTATTTTCCAAGAAGAGAAAGTAAAAGTATCTGTGTCTATCACGTGTGCGCAGATGACAAAAACAATACCATTATTCAAGTTAGATTACTTTAAAAGCAAATGAATACAGGGAACCAAAAGTTTCTAAAGAAACTGTGGTGCTGCGTCGGTGGGGATTATAACAAGATAATTTGGTTTTATCAACTGGGCTGATAATGTGAATTGGCCAACGTAAAGAGATTTGAAAGCTTCGAATCTCTTTACGGTGGTCAATTCACATTATCAACCCAGTTGATAAAAGCAAATTACTTTAAAAGCGGCTATCTATTGTCGCCAAAGGAGCTTACAATCGCTTTAATTTTAAAATTCCCTCTGATATTACTCAAAAACGCAGTAACGTTTTAGCTCTTAGTAAACTGGAGACGATCCGTATATACCCGGTAAAGAGATTTTTAAACCATATTTCTCCTTGAAGAACCCAAAATGTTTCAGAAGTCGATTGAAATAGTTCACTATCTGAGAATCGCATTTTTGATTTCGGGAACCAGCTCATTTGGTTGGCTAGAAAAATCAACTTTTCCTGTCATGCTTTAATGGTAATAAACTTTCAGTAAGTGACTTTTTCAGCCGATGGGTCTGGAGGATTATTTTACTTGATCAAGATTTCATTCATTTCTCCTTAGTTCAACGGGTATAAGTATCTGGGGACTTGTTTCATAAAAAAAGTTCAATACTAAGAACTGGAAGACCAGGAAGTTAACAAGATATTTTTTATTTTGCCATCTCAGATGCGAGCCAGTATCACTGGGATTATCAGCTGTGGTCGAAATAAAAACCTTTTAATTGCTCAATTTATGAAATTGAAATTACACAAAAATATCTCCAGAAATCCGGCGATGATAGAAAATTCAGTGGAAGAGTCAAGTTGCTAACCATAAAGACGTAAGTTTTAAACGATAAAATTCGTAGCTGGGAACTGAGATAAGAACATTTCTAATACCAAACCAAGGAGGAATTTCAAATGAGCATTTTTTTTTGGCCCTAGAATATCTCATTTATTTTATTTTGTCTTATCTTATTTTATTTAAATCGAAGACCTTTCAAACGCCATCTCTGTTTCAGTAGAGAGTTCCAAGCTGGTAGATCATGTAGTTAGTCTGAGTGGATGAAAACCTCAGGGGAAACACTTTGATATTGTACTAGTTTTTTTTTTTTTTTTCAAACTAAAGGGTCTAAAACAGTGGAAGTACTATTTTTAAGGAGGCATCGATATTGAAAGTGAGATAGTGGTATTGATCGGTCCTTAAAGGCGCCACATCACGTTTTGGGCATCTTGAAAAGTTAGCTTAAAGTTTTCAAGTTCGTCGTTTGTAATCCGTATCAATCTTCTCCAACCTTAACCATCCTTGTTCCTTTATGGTATATTATTATCTCTTTGCAGTTTTTCTATCTAAGTAAAGTGCTATTTTCAGGTTTCCTTCAATTTAAAGATAAATTTGTACGAGGCCAAAAAAAACTCAAATTACTGTGACTGAGCTCCTTAATGGCTACTGTTAACTCGATCCATTGATTCTAAAATAACTGATGAACCAGACTGGCTTTTGATTTTAAATCCCCGTTTATTTTTGAGACTTGGCTCCTACTACAGTTTTTGTGTCGGGTACATTACTCAGTTGTTTTTTTCAGATTAAATGCACTGTCTAAGCGGAATCTTGATTCCTGTGAACGGGACTGTGAAGGAAGCTGTCTCGGTACAAACCAGTCCATCAGCGCAGCCACACTTGTGCAAGTGCTGTAGAAAAATGCAACAATCGTGTAAATAAATCAGTGTGTTTAGAACAGAACATAGGAAAGGGAAAGCTACTCTTGACCGAGGCCCGGTGTCACATGTGGGTTGAGTTTGTTGTTGGTTCTCGCCTTGCTCCGAGGGGTCTTCTTTGGGTTCTCCGGCTTTCCTCCTTCCACAAAAACCAACATCTCCAAATTCCAATTTGACTAGAATAGAGGGCCACATGAGAACCACCTAAGGCTGATGTGGCTTCCTCTCTAAATATTGTAATTTATTTTCTTTTAAGGCATTTACCTATACTGTTGCCAAGGCTGTTACTAACATTGCACAAATTAATATAAATTAAAGGCTGTTACCAACACCAAGGCTGTTATGTGCTAATATATTCCACCAACATTACATCAGGACTGTCACTAACATCACACCAAGGCTTCTACTAACCGTTAAATAGCACGTGAAGTACTTCGGAAGTTTGGGAGCACACCGTTTGTTCAGAAGACAGCATTGGTTCTCTCCACAGTCAGTATCGTGGGCACATCTCTATTTTTGAAAAAAAGTACGAAGAAGAAGGCAACATGGGCATAGACGATTTGAGGTAATTATGAAGAAAAGAGGATATGATATACTGTAGATTAAAATTTTTAAGTCAATAATTGATAGATGGAAACTCGAAGTTTTTCTAGGGTGCATGATTTTTAGCCTCAACTAGCTTTTCCTCGTATTCTTCTTCTTCAACTTTCAGCCAATTTAATCAAAATTTAACCATATTCTTCCCTTCAAATGCGTTACAACACTGTAAAGATCTTAATATCAACTTAAGTTTTTCCACAGTTCGTTCCTTCTTCATCGCTAGGCTTTTTATTACGTTACAAGTGTTCCAAGAACCTGGTGGTTGTTACGTAACGTTGTGGCTTTGTGGCTTAATCTGAAGAAAAACAGTCGCAATAGTTAGATGAAGCCTGTAAAAATTCAGGCTTGAACTAGATTCGAACTGAATCCTACGATCATCTTTATTTGGCTAGGGCTGAACAATTCCTACCTTGAAGAGACCATTAAACAGAAAGCGTTTTCTCCTCGTCATAGGAGAATCAGCGGCCTGTTGTTCATCATGGTCAACTGTTTCTACCTCGATCTCCATTCCCTCAGGCATGCACTGTTTAACGGTGACCTCAGATTGCTGGATGATCAGTTTCTTGGTCAGTACACAGGACAAGCCAGCTTGACAACTACAGTCCGGACTTCCATCCTACGAGAAACACGTGACTAGAATGTAAAGTTTTGCCTAGCGATTTAGAAGAGGCTGGATGGTCGTGCATTATAGGCCCAGACAACTTAGACAACTTCGATGACTGAAAAAGGCATAATGACGTTGTACGTAACTACACATGTACTGCACACATCATACGTTGGAAAGTGATAGCAAAGTTGTGTTGCCATCCTTGAATTGTCGGCTTTTGCTGGGGTGGTTCTACGTGTAGAGCCGTTTGCGGTTGAAGGCACTTTTTCCACCCGTGGAGTCAATGATAGGCTCGATTTCCGTCGCTCTCGGTCCACGTTCCTCCCCGAGAAGAGATCTGGGAGGAGCGCGCGCTTCTTTCCCGAACAGCGGTTATTAATCGAACCTAATTTAATGAACGAACATTAATTTCTCATATGCATGTAACATAAATGAATTTTCAAGGAGGTGAGAGAAGAGAAATATCACTTGTCTTTCTTAGCCATAGAAGTTAGAAAATTACTGTGGTTAACTCACCTGTCTGTTGCAAGCTGCCAGTTCGGGAAGATTTGAACATCCCTGGGAATAACAAAAATTTAATGTCACAATGAGGACATGAGAGAATTACGCAAATGAAAAGATTATAAAAAA